TCTGTGCCCTCAGATAGTGTATAAATAGCAGAATTGTCACACTTTTGCCAATAAATTATAATTATTAGTATTTATAATAATTTATTACAAAATATGAGTTATATTTGCTGTCACTGTTTGCATACAATACTGTGTTTGTTATTTATACACATATACTGTATATTTGGTGTTCAATTCACTAAACAATTCTGTCATTCTATACATTCAGTAGTCATTGATTTCTATTATACACCACTCCAACAGTTATGTACAATTAAATGTCACTGATAATAATAAAAAATACACTATTATTCACGGGAAAAAATATTTCAGACATTTGTGATGATATAATTGAGGTCAAGTGAGAGTATGAATAACAATCAAATAGTTTTAGACTCTATAGCTAATCATTAGTTATTATAATATATGATATATTATATGAGCATAAAATTAAACACTGCTAAATATATATATTTAAAAGTTGTCAGAAATCGATTTGATTGATTTGCTATTTAAAAATATATATATGTATATATTGGAAAATAAATGATTTTCGCCCCGATCATTGATTTGTGGGGAAATGTAGTTATAAATTGGTGTTATTGACGACAGATTTTATGCATTTATAATCCAATCAATTATGTATCAAATTATAGGTTCAATCAATGCATGATTTTCGTTAAAAACATGTATTTAATGAAAATCATGAAAAATAATTTTCAATTCATTAATCGATACAAAAAAATATATTTACATTACTTGCCTATCAGCTGAAAAAATTGGAAAATATGAATATATTTATAAATATATATATATATACTGTAATCAAAAATTTATATATAAAACAAAAATATCTATTACGAGAATCACTGGTGTGTTGCATATCAGCACTAAAATAATTGCAAAGTTTTATATTTCATTAAAAAAACTTTAAATATGTTATGAATTAATAATTATTTTATGATAATATTCAGTATATTATATCAACGTTTCAAATATTGTTTTCTCGTATACTTTATGCCTTTTTTTATACACAACAACAAAATCTTTTAGCTTTTTGTTGTTGTTTGTCGTGAATAATGCCTACAATTCTGTGATGTGTTTTACCCATTAATAAACAGTATGTAATATTCAGTCCTTTAAGCCATAAAAACATTTATTCATAAATTTTAATTATTATTTTATGCATTTATAATCCAATCAATTATGTATCAAATTATAGGTTCAATCAATGCATGATTTTCGTTAAAAACATGTATTTAATGAAAATCATGAAAAATAATTTTCAATTCATTAATCGATACAAAAAATATATTTACATTACTTGCCTATCAGCTGAAAAACTTGGAAAATATGAATATATTTATAAATATATATATACTGTAATCAAAATTTATATATAAAACAAAAATATCTATTACGAGAATCACTGGTGTGTTGCACATCAGCACTAAAATAATTGCAAAGTTTTATATTTCATTAAAAAAAACTTTAAATATGTTATGAATTAATAATTATTTTATGATAATATTCAGTATATTATATCAACGTTTCAAATATTGTTTTCTCGTATGATACTGTATGCCTTTTTTTTATACACAACAACAAAATCTTTTAGCATTTTGTTGTTGTTTGTCGTGAATAATGCCTACAATTCTGTGATGTGTTTTACCCATTAATAAACAGTATGTAATATTCAGTCCTTTAAGCCATAAAAACATTTATTCATAAATTTTAATTATTATTTTTATTATTAATGTGAATTATAAATAGCGGGAAAACACATTTACTAATCTCTCCTTAAAGATTTCACATAATAATTAAATATATTTAACTATTTGTTGGTTTTGTTTTGCAAATACCTTTTATATCCGGATAAACACGTGAAAATCATTTACATTTATCACTTGCAACACTATAATATATTATTATAATAATATTATAATTATATCATGAGCATAAATATTAATTTAGTTTTAAAATATAATTTATTCAATACATTTATTGAGATTATATTTGGAAAAAATCCTTAATAAGTGTAATTAATAATTTTATGACCGTTTTATGCATTTTCCCATCACTCGGGTATATCATAATAGTATGTATTTCGGGAAATATGTTTTATTTCAATTAATTTCATTTTATTTGTGCTCATAATTCGCGTACTCTGTAGACACAGACATAACTACCCCAGACATACATATATGTAAATAATAAATAAACCTCGTTTTTGTTTTATTAAATAGTTTTTTCATTATTATTATTATTCTTATTACTTAAACAACAAAATTATTATTTAATGGTGTATTCATGCAGCCATAAAATACCTATCCCGGTGCTATTAGCTCATGTATATAATATGTATTTGATGTGTGCGATAGGTATTAACATATCTTTCCTTTTAAAAGCTATTTCATTGCTATTAATGTATTAGCAAATAGTCTTAACCAACATTATTATCGGTAAAAATAAAGTTCAAGAGTGTTTATTAATTGTATTTATATTTTTTCCCTAATCCTTATCTAAAGTATTCCGTGATTTTGTGTTTTCCATATTTCAATGCAATATTTGTATTCAATTTATATTCAATCAAAAGAAAGCAATAAAAATATGTTTTTCATGTCTGAGAGGTACTGACGGCAGAGTTAAATAACAATTAGCTATCAAATTATCTCTCATATAATTACTTCAATGAGAGAATAATGTTTACAATTATTTATTATAAGTGTTTTATTTTTAACAATCTTTTATTTCCTGTCATTGAAATGGTATGAAAATAATTTATAAATAGAGAATAAGGTTTTTATTTTATTTTATTAACAAAATAAGTATTAATAAAAATGAGAAAAAAAATACTAAAACACATATAAATTAAAAGGGAAACGAATGGCACACTAACTATATATGAAACACATATTTGTTTCAATACATTCAGGTATTATATTCATTAATTAACCACTTTGTAAGTAGTACTCGTATTATTAGCCGTATATTTATTATAAGATAATAAACTATATTTTTTTGAAAATTACTATTCATGTATACTTTTTCAAGAATTCATCGCTTGATTACTATTACAATAATTAATATGCAGTTGTGTTTTGACATTAAACTTAGAAACGAAAGTCACTTTTTGAATGCAAATTAAGTGTAAAAATAATATTTAATTATTTATGACATTAGAGGCTATGAATAGACTTTGCATTCCTTTAGCATTCAATGAATAGCGAGTGCTTTAAATCACACATACATTTGAGATCATAATGTGTTATATAATGAGCGAAACAAATGATAGATACCTTGAATACTGTGTGTCCAAAATGATAGCAAAACGATTGGTATAATAGTAATAACGCGTGAATCGGAATAAGAAGTCATTATTTTTACATATATTGTATTTCCCATTGATTTCTCATCTGTTTATTTCAAGTTTACGAAATCAAATGATTACAACATTCATATAGTCTATCATTACTTCACACATCGAAATAGTGGCTCAAAAATACATAACAATTATTATATATATATTTATATTAAAAACTTGGAGATTCTCACAACAGATAAACAAGTATATTATATATATATTTATTTTATACTAGTATTTGTCACAAAAAAACTTTTGTTTTCTCTATAAATCACAGAATTGACAACAAAATAGAGGTTTGCTATTCATATACGAGTGGCAGAGGGTATACAAACTGAAGCACTGATACATTCACACAGTTTTCTTCACTCTATTATCAATAAAACTTAACCAAAAAACTGCAAACAAGTGATACCTTTTATATAATATATTATTTGTCGCTTTTGATAACGAAAAAACTTCAACACTTCATCAGAAAAAAACTTTTCTCTCACTCTCGATGTCTTAGAAAACAATCACTTTTTCAACACTCAACAGATTTACTAAAACAATAGTTTGTGTTCATAACATAACGTAACAGTCGATGCAAAGCATGCATCAAAATCACATGAAATGAGAAAAAAGTTTTTTCTCAGTCCGCACGACACCGTCAATGGGAGTGAATATATGCGGCGATTGAGAGACTGAGAGAATGGCATCTATTCTTACAGTTGAGCTCATCATTCAGTTTAATACTCGCATTGCATTGCTATTCAAGTGGTTGCGCACCGACTCATTGCCGGCACTCAAACACTATCCGCAACCGACGATTGCCAACACTTTCGCAGTGCATGCGTTCATACCATTCAATACCATCCACTCTCTCCCTCCCAGTCTCTCCCCGACTCTCTCTCTCTCTCTCTCTCGCTGTCACAAACTTACGGCTCGGTTGCGGACTTTATATCGCCATCTGTTTTGCTGTCAAACATTTGTATTAATGAAAACTTTTGTCTCAATCTATCATTTCAGTGCTCATTAATTAAGCCGTTTTCACAATAAGTCCATTCATTATCTATTGTTTCCATTTCGCAAACCTCTTTCCAATTGATATACGAACTGCTAATGAACTGAGAACTCGCATAACCTTGATCAGTCAGTCATTACACCAGTAGCCATATGGCCATGCTCACATTTAATGCGAACAGTTTGCCAGCAATTATGTAATAAATTATAATAGACTTTATTTTGATAAACTTCAATAAACTATAATACAGTACAGTAGCATGCAAGTTTTATTAGTTTTCATAACATTTAGAATAATACTATTTGTTTAATATTAGTAATATTTGTTTGCAAATGTAATAATAAACATTATACGGGTTGTCATAATATAAACTTAACTAAAATACCAACCTCAAATAAAATATTAACATATCACCTAGTCAAATGTTTTAAAATACAGTATAATAAACCACAATAAATCTGATTCTGAACTCAAATATTCCTGTCATATCTGTACCATACTACCGCAAAATAGTTCTAGCTCATATTAATACAACATATCGCAGACCCCTCCCCACCACCCAATACAGCATATCGTACATGAATCGTATGTCACGTAGTCTATGAACAGTTTGTCTATTCGTGACATCACACGTGTTTCTGCCAATGAGATGCAGACAAGTGTTAAAACATGTCATCAAAACATTTTTGTGTTAAATATTTTTGCCGGCGATTTGTCTCACAATCCCTTTAAATGTGTGTTTAATTTGATTGTCGTTTAGCTCTCATTCACTCAAACCTATTGACTCTTTGGGCCATTAATACCACTATTTGTTGGTTCACTCGGCGATTGAATCGCAAAAACTTTTCACTTGTAATCAAACCGTGAAAATAATGATCAGATTTCTACTATTGTTTGTCGTGTCGTGCGGTTTGTCATCAGATTTCGGTAATTATTGAATGCATTTACAACTCATCACTCAATGCAATACGCAATCCATAAACACATGCATTCATTGCAAACCTCATTCACCACCCATTCAGTCGTTGAACCACTTAAACCCCCATTGAGTTTGCATTGAGTTTGCATTGACACCGAAAACGGTGTCAATCATTGTTTGCCTAATATTTTAATCGCAATCAAAGCACCACTTAATGGCCAAACCCTTATCCCATGTCTTATCTAACGTGTCATCTATTATCTCAATGTCTGCAGCGAATGGAGTGGCGGTGATGTCTGTGGACTTGGGCTCCGAGTGGATGAAAGTGGCGATTGTCTCGCCGGGAGTGCCGATGGAGATCGTGTTGAACACGGATTCCCAGCGCAAGACACCAATCATTGTCTCCTTCAGGGATGGCGAGCGACTCATCGGTGACTCCGCACAGGCGGTCGCCACCAGATTCCCGGACAAGGCGTTCGCCTACTTCTTGGACCTGTTGGCCAAACACCAGAACTCATCAGTGGTTCAGTTGTTTCACAAACGCTTTCCTTATCATAAGATCGCCGACACATCCAATGGTATGTCCATTCAAGCCGTGTGTCTATATATCTGTGATTAACATATGTCTTGTGTATCACTTCAGGCATTAGTCTGACGACCAGCGATGGACTCGTGTTCACACCCGAGGAGTTGCTGTCAATGGTGTTGTCGAAGGCCAAGGTGTACGCCGAGGAGGCGTCCAAACAGCCCATCAACGACTGTGTCATAACAGTGCCGCCGTATTTCACTCAAGCGGAACGACGGGCCCTCCTATTGGCCGCCGATTTGGCCAAACTTAAGGTCCTTCAAC